CCTTCTACATGTAGTCCAAAGACTAACACTCTTGTCTCTGCTCTTAACATGAAAAAAAATTAACATACCTTTTTATTTTTGTTTCATTCATCACCGAGGTTCGAACGATATCCCGAGGACTCTTTTGTCACCTCGTCTCATTTTTCTTGTATTTCCACGCATTCACTTACGTCCTTGGTTGTATTTTCAAGTTTGAAAATGTCCATGGACTTTAATGAGTCTAGTTATGACGAAATCTTAGTCCGACAACTCCACAGACGTGGCCACAAAACTAACGTGTTTATTAATTGGGCCGTGTCCAAACTTGTAGAAGATGACGCCCGTAGGTTCTATGCCTAGCGTTACATCCCTGACACTTGGGATTTCTATATTCTGGAGCCCGAGGAAGGCAATTTTGGCGAACCTCCTCCCGGATGGCTTTGTCTTTACGAAGACATGTTCAAATGTGGTCTACGATTTCCTCTACACCCGACCATCATTGAGATCTTAAATTTGTACAACATTTCTCCCGCTCAATTAACTCCGAACGCTTAGATGATTATCGCGGGGTTTGGCCTCTGGATCTAACCTCTCTATGGTCAGAGCCTCCGAGTTCTTTCTTTTACCTTTGAGTGAGGCTACATAACATTCTCTGGCCACCTTTTGGTCTCCACGAACTTTCCCGATGCCATTCTCGGTCGGGTACTTCTTAAGCATGTGATATGTAGAGACTATGGCCTTCATCTTGTTCAACCCTAGTCGTCCAAGGATGACATTGTAACTTGAGGGGACCTTCACAACTAGGAAATTCATCATGACCGTGGTCTGCTGGGGTGAGTCCCCTGCAGTTAACGAGAGAGTTATAATTCCCTCTGGCTCCACGATTTCACATGTAAACCCCATGAGTGGAGTTTTGACGGGCCTTAGTCGTTCACGACCAATTTTCATCTTCTCAAATGCATCATAGAATATGATATCAGCTGAGCTGCCACTATCCACCAACACCCTTTTGACCCCGTAATTCCCAATCGTAAGTGTAACGACCATGGGATCATCATGAGGAGTTAGAATGTTACCCGTCTCTTCCTCTGTAAAGGTTATTTGTGTCTCCATACGAGCCATTTTCTCTTACGGCTCACTTGTTCGAGGTTGCCTTGCATATGCTTTGCGAACAGAATTGCTTTCTCCGCCGGATGGTCCTCCGGCGATGACAGCTATGACCCCAGCAACTTGAGTGTTGTCCCTTCTCGGACTTCGGGCCCTAGGATTACCCCTCTTAGGACTACGACTTCGATTTTTTGAGCGTCTTCACCGAGGTTGAGGGTTGCTTTTGTCTTTTTCCACAAATTTCTTAAGGTATCCTCTGCGTATCAAGTCCTCAGTCTCGTTTTTCATGGTCTCACAGTCCTCGGTATCGTAACCGTGGTCTCTGTGAAAACGACAATACTTATCCCGACTTCTTTTGTTTGTCGGGGTTCTTATCTTGGTTGGCCACCTGACATAGTCCTTATCTCGAATATACATCAAGATTTCATTCTTTGTAGCACGCAAAGGAGTATACCTTTCAAACCTCGGGAGATTGGACCGAGTCTTCGATGAGTTGGTTGTGACAGACAGCCTATCCCATACTTTTTTCTTCTTTCCGCCATTATCGTCACCAGAGTCCCTCATCCTCTTTCTGTCAGAGGTCTCATGCTCATCCTCCGTTCTAGACATCTCCTCAGCGTTGATGTACTTTTCGGCCCTACTTAAGAGTTCAGGGAGGGATAGCGGTGGTTTTTTGGCCAAAGGGAAAGCAAACCTTGAGGACTTTCGAACCCTATTCATGAGTGTGGTCAAGGCCACAGACTGGTCCAAGTCCTCAATCTCTAGTGCCTCTACATTAAAAGGATGGATGAACTCCCTTAGCGTCTCATTCGACCTCTGACGAACGCCCATAAGGTGGGCTGAAGCTTTCTTGTACCGTTGGCTGCTAACAAAGTGTTGAGGAATTCTTGTGCCAATTGTTTAAAAGTATAGATAGAGGCTGCTGGCAGTGAAGAGAACCAAACTCTGGCACTCTTTCTCAGCGTGGCTGAGAACGCTCGACATTTAATGGCGTTGGTCTTCCCATTAAGCACCATGAGAGCTTGAAAATTCTCGAGGTGGTCTCAGGGGTCCGAGGTTCCATCGTAATTCTCCATCTGAGGCATCTTGAAGCTAGAGTAGATTTTCTCTTTCATGATGTTGTCAATAAAAGGGGACTCGGTGGGTGAAAAAATGTCCGACGTCGGCTTTCTGACTTCTTTCCACACCACTTCGAGCCTTTCATTCATCTCCTCAAGCTTTTGCTTAAGGTTGCCATCCTCATGTGTGAAATTACCTCTCCCGAGGTCTCTTTTGGATCTGACCTCAGTTTCATCGTTGGGGGCTTTAGAACCTTCGCCATGGCTGG